CCATGAGAACCAGTTTAGTTCAAAAAATCATATATTGAAAGCATCTCTCTCTCTCCGTTGGCCATAGGGATAGCCCAGTTCCATCAGGTTCCTAACTCATGCTTTGCTAGCTTCACTTTTTCAACTTACGCAGAGAAGGGTGGCAATCTGTGGCAGTGTCAGGAGATGCTCGAAGAGGGTGTGAAGCTTCCAGAGTTATGCAGTTAATAATAAATCTGAGAGTAAACTGTGGGTCTTCTCCATAAAAACAAAATTCACCTTTGACCAGCTGGTCAATCGTTGACAAAGTTCTCAAGACAAGCAGTACCTGGCATCCCGTGTTTCCAAATGCTCATCAATGATTCATCTGATCTATTGACTTAAACCAGAATCAGTGAGAAAAGCACGGCAAAGATTCACGGGGCTGATCTCAGAGATACATTTGTCCCCCAGCACTTTTCTGGTCACTTTTGAATGACTCAGTGTTTATTTTCAGAACAGATAGAGGTGATCTGTGTCAGCAATACATGCAAAAAAAAAAAAAAAAAAAAAAAAAAAAAAAAAGGGGGGGTGCAAAATCCAACAGATGAAGGGAGACAACCACCATGCTCGATTCCCTATGATTGTAGAATCACAGAGTCATAGAATGGCTTGGGTTGGAATGGACCTTAAAGGTTGCCAAGATCCAACTCTGTCTGCCAGGGATCGGGTTGCCAACCACTAGGTTGGTCTGTCCAGGGCTCCAACCAAGCTGGCCTTGAACACTTCCAGGGTTGGGGCAAAGGATGGAGGGATAATCTAGAAAAGAATTTCTCAGGAGGAGCTTCCAGCGTTGAGCTCACCTCTCTTCCAACATGCCTGCAGGATAATCTGTGGGGACAAAATCAGTCCTTTATTAAAAGTAGCCACCAGCCCACCTCCAGCAGTGCCACCAGGGCACCTTCAGTGCGGCATGCACTGCCAAGGCTGCTCACACACAGTAAACCCTGATATAGCTTGAGCTATCAATTACCTTCCTAAGAAACCCGCTGCTAGAGCATCGCAGTGTTCCTGGAATGTTTGGAAATACTTGTCAAAACACAACTCTGGTTTCATTGTTAGCTCTATTAACATTCAAACATTTCCCTTGTTGATTAAAGGCACTGACTCCACGCAACATCTTAAAGTCAATACCTACCTGCCTCCAATCCAATTTCTTATGTAACTGCCACTTTACACACCACAAATGTTTTTCTCTTAATGATGAATGAAATTATTTCTGCCACAAATCCTAGATGGAGGCCTTTCAGGGATGATGGAGGCCAAACCCCCCAACCACAGGTTGCATTCTTCTCTGTGTTTGATCTGGGTATCACTACGCTCCGGGAGGGGATCACATTTCTGCAGTAGCACAGGGTCCCTGAGCTCAATGTCACTTTGCTAGAATGAAGATGGACATTGTCTTACAACCAAAAGCCACCAACCAGGAGTTGGCTTTCAAGAATGCTGCTCACTCTCCTGGGTTTAATAGTGATTGTTTGTGATGGAGTAATGATATTCAGCCATCCCCAAGAGCAGCTGCAGGAGTTATCTTTGCTAGTAAACTATCCTGAGACCCTTGGTTGCTTTTCCACTGTGCGCTGGATGCACACATTGGAGCTCAAATGTGCATGTGTATGAAGTTGTTCAACTCTGCAGGACAACTTGTTGGTTGAGTGCAGCAAAAGCTAGAGATAGAACAAGAGGTAACAGCTTTAAGCTGCACCAGGGGAGGTTCGGGTTGGATATTTGGAAAAATTTCTTCTCAGAAGGAGCGATAATGCACTGGCACAGGCTGCCCAGGGAAGTGATGGAGTCACCATCCCCGGAGGTGCTCAAGAACTGTGGAAATGTGGCAATGAAGGACATGGGTTAGTGGGCATGGGGGAGATGGGCTGATAGTTAGACTAGATTATCTTAGAGGTCTTTTCACAGAATCACAGAATTGCCAGGGTTGGAAGGGACCTCAAGGATGATGAATCTCCAACCCCCCTGCCACATGCAGGGCCACCAACCATCTCACCTAATGCTGGACCAGACTGCCCAGGACCCCATCCAATCTGGTCTTGAACACCTCCAGGGATGGGGCATCCACAACCTCTCTGGCAGTCTGTTCCAGCACCTCACCACTCTCTCTGTAAAGAATTTCCCCCTGATGTCCAACCTAAATCTCCCCTCCCTATTTCCCCTTGTCCTGCAGTTATCAACCCTTTCAAAGAGTTGATTCCCCTCCTGTTTGTAGGCTCCCTTTTCTAACCTTAACAGTTCTATGATTATATATGCCTGACCCAGAGTGCTGCACTTTTTGGAACAATAAAACCACGGCAGGGACTGCAAGGAGATGGCTGTACAAGTGGGCCTGTCAGCGTGGCAGGGCTGGAAGCAGGCACTGTGTCAGCTCTGCCTTGTGGAGCACACAGGCAGTATTAAGACAGTGCAAAGAATGACCAATTTGTCCCCACGTTGCAGTCTTTGCTTGCAGTGAGATAATGCGCCATCCCTGTGTCCTCCCCTCCAGACTCCAGAGCATTGCTATCATTTACTCCAAGGACTGGGAAAACCTGGTGATCAGCATCTCAGAGGAAGGGATGCTCGTTGGGGACCGGCTGAGTCAGCAGTATTTGGGGATCAGCTGGAAATCTGTGCTTCTCACACCCTCCTCAGGCTCTCTCCAGGCTTTTTCCTCACCGCTCTTCCAACTGTTTGCTCTCCAGGCTGTCAAATTACTGTACCTCTGCCAGCACCTCTCCATACACAATTCTTTCAGCAGAGGCGTGCGTCTCTCCAGCTCGCTCTTCTTACTTCACTCCAAATTTCTCATCCCAATAGGATTCAGACTCATGTGACCACAGCTCTCTGTAATTCTGATCTATATTTCTTGGTTCTTAAATTTTATATTACAGTCTAACCCTCCCCACTTGTTTGCTCCAGCTCACGTTGATTTGAGCACTGCTTTCTGCATGCCATCCCCACACACATCAGCACACACAGTGTCATCAAAGAGGACTCATTAGGACCAAGGCCTTTGGGACACCTCACAGCCCACCTCATCCCTGTATTCTGGATAGAGAGGAAGAAGGAATGGCTCCAAGCACTCACAAGGCTCCCAAATTCCCCTTCCCAGAACAGTGATGGCAACAGGCTCAGACACTGAGCACATCACCAATATATGGCTCATGGCATCAAGTCCTAAAAAATGACAAAGCATTCCCAGAGTCTGCACTTCATATTAGTTCTACACGTTGCTTGGGAGTCACTCAGCAGAAAACATAAAAATGCCCCTGCTCCAAGGGAAAGTGCAAACCTGAAGTCCTTCATGCAGGAGTACCCTGATGCCCCTTTGATTTCCTGTGGAGATCAGAACTCAGCTTCGTTTTTCCAAAAAGCCACCTCAGTAACAGTGTCATAACCACACTGTATTTCGCCGACTGCTTTTCCCTCCATTGTTTTCCTTTAAGCACGCTGGTGTCAGCGGTGAGGGTCCGTCTGACATGGAGCATTTCCTCCCTGCTCTCACACAATGCGGTGCTATTGAGATGTCAGACCCCCATGCCTATTGGAGGTGTCAGGACAGAGCCTGGGAGCTCTGAGCCATCCCGAGCTCCGTGCACATCGTCGGGACCCAAACAGCCTGGAGCTTACGCTCAGTCTTTGGTGCATTTGGGCCCCGATGCCAACCGTTCCCAGCTCTGATATTTGCATCTATTTTTGGTGAGTGCGCTGCTGCGTCAGGGGATTAGAGCAGCGCTGTGATTTCTCCTAGAGCAGCGCTGTGATTTCTCCCTGCGTGGAGGCAATGAGCGGTGCGAATCGCTCAGGTGGGGTGGCGACGGTGGCGCGGGAGATGCCCACAAAACCACCCCCCATGGGAGCTGTTCACACACCGGTGACACTGGATCAGATTTTGCCACAGCTCAGAGCCCGAGTAAGCTGTGATTCCTCCTGTCGGTAACAAACTCCGGGTCCCTGGTGAGTGAAGGAGTGCTGGCGGCTTCACTTTGGGGTACAGTGAGCCAGTTCCCTTTCACCACGCTGCGCCCTCCTGGGCTGCCCCGACCAACAGATCCCTCTCCAGCTCTGCCCTCCCGCCTTCCTTCAGAATGCACACCCTTGCCGTTACAGGGCCACAAAACAAAACCAACGTGCGGACGTGTGTCCCGGCACAGAACCGCCGCGGACCGGCAGCCAACCCAGCACCGTTCGCTTCGCTTCACCCCCGGACAAAAAGCGTGCGCTCCCCCTCCCCGCTCCCACCTCCCCCCTCGGGCCCCCGCTGGGGCCGGGCGCGGAGCGGAGCGGGCGGCGGGCGCGGCCCCCCGCGGCGGCAGCGGGGCGGGGCGGAGCGGCGGGGCGGGCGGCTCGGCCCGGCGGGCGGGGACAGCGCGGCCGCCCCGCTCCGCTCCGGAGCCGCCGCGGGCAGACGCAGGAGCGCCGCGGCGGCGGGAGGGAGGCGGCGGCTCCTCCATGCGCGGTGCGCGGGCGGCCGCGGGGCTTGCGCAGGTACGGAGGGCCCCGCCGCGCTCAGAGCCTCCCCGGGCGCTTCTTGGATCTCCTACTTTTTAATCGCTTTTTTCTTTTTTTTCCCCCATTTTATTACTTTTTATCTCTTACTACTATTTTGCTTCTGTTCGTATTTTTTCTATTACTGGTTTTCTTGTATTACTTTTTAAGTGCTGTATCCCCCTTTTATCACTTATTTTCCCCCTTTGTCACTTATTTTCCCCATTAATCGCTTATTTTCCTCTTTTATCACTTATATTCTCGTTTTTAATCACAATTTTCCCTTCATATCCTCATTTCTCCTTCTACCCTCATCACCCTCTTTTACCCCCTTCTATCCCCATTCTACCTTTTTATCACTTGTTTTCCCCTTTTATCACTTGCTTTCCCTTTTTATCACTATTTCCCCTTTTTTCTAATCCCCATTTCCCCCTTTTACCCCCATTATCCTCTTTTATCCCCATTTCCCCTTTTCATTTCTATTTCCCCATTTATCCCCATCTTACCCCCATTCCCTTTTTTATCCCCATTTCCCCTTTCCCCCTCCCTCATCCCACCACTCCAACCTCGGGAGGACCGTGCGGAGCTCCTCCCGCATTCAGCTCCTCTCTCCCTCTCCCGGCAGCGCAGCAGCGGAGCGGAGCGCTGAGCGGCGGCAGCATGCGGCCGGGGAATGTCTGAGGCGGGCGGCGGTGCGGCGGCGGCGGCCTCGCTGCCCCGGAGCCGCGCCGGAGGGATGCGGGCGGCCTGGGGCTCCGTCTGGTGCCTGTGCCTGGCGGCGGCCGTCGGAGCGCTGCCGGCGGCGCGGCGGCGCGGAGCGGAGCGGAGCGGCGGACAGGCGGCAGGTAAGGAGGGCAGCGTACGCGGGGCGAATGGGAACAGCCGGAGCGGGAGTTATGAATGAAAGCGGCGGGATCGTGCGTGGTGGTGGTGGTGCTCTGGAGGGAAAATGGATTTTGAACAGTTGTTGAAAAGGCTCTCGCGGCGCTGAGTGCCGTTCGGGGATTTGTGCCTCCGGTTCTTCGCGGTGCTTGGGGCGGCGGGTGCTTCTTACGCACCGACAGTCGCAACTCATTGACTTAGGGACGAGGCGTTGGGGAAGGAGCCGCTAAACACCTCGTCTCGAGGAAAAGCCGGACAAAAGCTGCTTTAAGGAAAAAAATCTCTTCGGCTGGGTTTGCAACTTCTCGCTGATCCGCCTCAGCTGCTCCCTGAGCCCCTGTTTGTGTTTCGAAGCCCCTTCGCAGCCCCCCGGCTCCAGGGTTACATGTACCCGGCAGAAAGTTTCCATTGTTCACCATTGGGTTTCGGAGCCCCCGTTGCCAAAAAAGTGACAGGGGAATAAATGGGCTTCGCGGAGGCCGGGGGTGGGGGCATTACTTTCATACTCCTTTTGGTTAAAGCCATAAATCACGCCGGGGGTTGGTTTTGTTTTCGAGAAAGTCCTAATAAAACCCCAGATTCTTAGTGTAACTCGTTTGGCTCATTTTTCACAGCCAAAAGAATTGATTTATGGGTCAAACACGGCAGCGAGCGCATCGAGGTGGGTGTCTGGGTGGAAGCAAAGGAGCAGGGAGCGTGTGTCAGTCTCTGCTGTCATTTAGGGGACAGTTTGGAGGGGCTAACTTGGAGGGATATCACTGCTTTAGGATTTCTAGTGGAAATCACGGGATTGTGGATTCACTTGAGTTGGAAATCGTTGGGATGAGGCTCTCTCGCTGCTGTCGATGACCATATGGGTGTCAGTATCAACCTGACAGTGGCCATGTGGGTGTCACTGTCAACTCCAGGGAGTGGGACGAGACTCTGAGCATTCTGGGCTCTGTTCCTCATGGGCTACTCAGTGATATCCCTAGGAGTGACACTGGCCACGTGCGTGGAGATGTGGGAAGCCTGGCATCGCCTAGCCTGCAGTATCCGCTGGAGGGGAAAAGGTTGTGCAAAAGAAACTGTAAAGAACATAAACCCTCCGAGCCGGGTAAAAACACATTTTGCTTTTCAGCCTTTGAATGGAATGGTAAAAAGCAAATTCTTTCTCCTGATCAAATGGGCCATGGGGTGTTGGCTCATTACTGAGGATTGTTGTTCGCTGGGCTTTGCATTTACAGTCTAAGGCCTTATTTTCCATAAAGGGGCTTGGAAGGATTTTTCCCCAGTGATCTAATTCTCCACACGGGGCTGTGAAGGCTGTAACAGCTACTGCTTTGTGCCTGTCCCCGGCTCCATAAAACACACATTGAGGGGAGGCGTTCTGGAGGTATGTGTGTGTTTGCTAATACGGACGCGCGCTGCTGGCGGAGGTGGAGGGGTGCAGGTTTTAACATCTCCGCGGGGAGGTGTTGGGCTGCTGGCAGGAAGGAGGCAGATGGCGGGGCTGTTGCTGAATAGAAGCTCAACTCAAAACACCAGGGGCCTCATCTGGGCTGAGTTTCTCCCCTCTCTCTTTCTCGAGGCTGCCGCAGGAAGAACAATGTCAAAATTTCCTCCCTCCCCCCCCAGCTCCCCCCCCCCCCGTTGTGTTTTTTCTCTTTTTTTTATGAATGAAAGCGGAGAGGCGAGGCAGGAGTGAATGTGTGTGTCATTCAGGGGCTATGGCAGAGATGATTAGGGAGGTCAGTGAACTCCTTTGCAGCCCTGAGCATGCGGTCACTCTATTCAGCAGTCACAGAATAGACATCCCTATAAAAAAGGCCGTCCAATTTGCATTAGTATTCAGATAAAGATATTACTGGGTACGATTTGTGCATGTCAAGTGATACTGCTTGCTCTGAGAGCAGGGCTGACCAACGGCAGCATTTCACTTTGCAAAACTTGTGATATCCATCCCATCTCCCAGAACTGTATGTAGAAAAAGAGGGAATTTCTGGGATTCCTGGTACTGGTGCTGTGGAGCCATGTCTGTGTGTTGAACTCTGAAGTTTGTGCAGAAAGCTGAGCTCTGTTAGGAGCCAGGACTGATGGTCCCTTAGCTGTGGTCACGTTGTCACTGAGCAGAATGTGTGAATTCAGGTTCTAGACAAGCAGAGGCACACAGGGGCTCTGGTGACTTCCCCATTTCAAAATGACTGGGGATGCACTGGTTGGGGCTGATAGGCTTTGTGCAGCTGATGGCAGAGGTTCAGGCTGCTCTGCTGGGCTTTGTGTACCCAGATGTTCCAAAGTTCAGCCTAAATTGCCCTTGTGCTGAGTTTGTGCCACACGGCACCGGAGCGGTTCCCTTCAGGAAAGTGTTCTGAAACTCTTTATAAAGGGCCCTTTGTAAATGGGTAGTGCTCCTGATCTTGTGCCCGAAACCTGAAATCCTTCAGATTCAGTGCTATGAGCGATGCAGTGCTGAGATAAAAAGTTGATCCATTTGTTCTCCAAGAATAGCTGTAGAAAAAGGTGATGAAGTCCTTTATGTTGAGTCTAGCATATTTTATTGAGGAATGAAATAAGAGGACAGAGGAAAAGGTGATGAAATATGGCTTTTTTTAGTTGTCCCTTACCTAGCAAATAGAGAAGCAGAGAGCCTGTGGCAGTGCAGGGACTGACTTGTTACAGCACCTGACAGTGGCTGTATAGCACTGCGTATTGACAGGGGTCACTCCAATTAAATTTGAGGGTTTTTTTCCCTTTAATTAAGACTTTATGAACAGCCACTGGGTAGGGAACGTGATGAAAGTAAATCTGAAGATTGTGTAGCGAAGTGCTGATCTGCTAATTAAATCCTGCAATTAAACTAAGCCACTCTGACCAGCACGTTCACTTTTATGACTCTCCCGAAAGCATCGGCACTGTTGGGGACTGTCTCTTTCCAGCAGCCCCAGAATGGGTTTTGGACTCTGGGCTGCAGCACCCACTGCCCCAGAGCTGATCCCATTCAGTCCTTCTGCCTGGACGAAGCTGATATGTTGTGTGAAGCTTTGAAGGTTTTTTTTCTCATCTATAACTCTGGGAAACAAAATTTTTCTTCTCTAGTGAACTGTGATGGCCAACTGTATGACATTTGAATGGACAGGAGGCAGTGCCAAGACTTCAGAGGAGCAGGAGATGTGGCCGCATCTTCCTCAGTGTTTTTGATGCTTTGTAGGATATGTGGATACTGATCGGGAATGCTACAAATTTACAGTAGCTCTATAAAGGATAGAGTGAAATCCCTTCCTAGTTTGGTGACTTTTCCCAGCTAGGCTAAACCCGGGCGTCAATGAAACCCACTCGATTTTTATTTCCTTTCCCCATCTGAGAGGGCTTACCTTTTTCCCAACGTGCTGCGTGCTCAGAACTTTCCCCGTGCTCTGCCAGTCGGTTGGTCTGGCTCTGCATAGCGTTTTGTCGGCTTTTTGAAGCAGCCTGCTGACTCAGCACCCTCCAGAGGAAAAGTCCCACAGCACCCCCTGAGCAAACCGCTGGCTGAACCACGTCTCAAGCCACTTATAAGGTCTTTCATTGCCTTTTTCTCCTGGGCCTCCTCCATAGCTTATCGGCTTACTGTTGGCCCCTTTGGGGCCGTTTATCTGTGTGATCTGGTACTTTTTCTCTGAATTGGAGCTGCCGGCCCTGGTGCCCCCTTCCTGATAGCTCACAGTTCAGGTTGCCGGGTGGCAGAGATAGGATGTAGAGACCTGGATGAGTGGAGAAAGGCTTTTTATTCCTGCGGTGACAGCGCTGTGATCCCAATGTGTGATGTGCTTTCCCCCAAAGTATCAGCTCCTTGGCTCGAATGACCAGGAAGTTTCCATAATATCAAAAGCAAACAAAAAGTGTGTGATAACAGTGGAGTAAAACCTTTGGTAAACTTGGTAGTTAGAATGTGAAAGGTAATGAGACGTAAACCTGCCCTGTATCACCCTGATAAGGGGGAGTTGCAGTGCCCAGGTGGATGGGGGAGGTTAGATCTTACTTTTTTTCTGCTGTGACACTCAGGTTACACAATTTAGCAAAGCTTTTTTTTTTTTTTTTTTTCTTTCTTTTTTAAGAATCACGGTGCAGCAAAGCAAGAAAACAGTTCTCCAGTAACTGCTTCAGTTTCAGATGTATTCATCTAAAAAAGGTGCGGTATTCGTAGCAGAGGGGGAGTCAGCTTCAGTGAGCTGGCATTGCTTTCCCAAAGCCACAGAAGGGGAGAAGATAAAGACTTGATAGAATAAAAAGGTTCTATTAAAACTTGGAAGCACCTCGGAGTTTCTTTATCATGCAGAACTGTATGCAAAACAATTACCATGTGCTTACACGTTCAGCATCTGTGAGAGTTTGGGGCCGTGCCATCTCCGCAGGTTGCGAGGGGTTAAACGTATTAATGACTCACAAGCAGAGGCTTCCAAGGCTGCAAGTGAGGGAAGGAGGAGAGCTGGGGCTGCTCTCTGTGGCTACAAAGCTTTGTGCACTGCCCTGCGATGAGTGCCTGCACCCGGTCCTAAGAGTTGTGTAACGCATTCTGGCTCATTGCAGTGTGTTTTTATTTTTATTGCTTTTGGGGGGGCATTTTCCTTGGGAAGAATCAGGTGCGCATCCATAGGGGCTGTTATTTGAGGGATAGAGAAGATGCTTCTGGATCTAGGTGCTGAGATCAATGCTTACTAACTCCATGCTCTCGCCATCCAAGGGCTGAAAATCTTTCTAGAATTGGAGTTTTGATTTTATTTGGATGCTTGGTAGAGTTTATAAAGACCCTTCAGGGGCAGCTTTTCGGAAGTTCCACTGTCTGCTGCTGCCTGTCATCCTTTAAAAGTCATACCAAGGTCTTTATCTCATGCTTATTTAATCCCAAGCAGAGATTTCCAAGGGAGCAGGCTGGAGCCCTTTGCAGATTGTGGTGGAAGCAACTGTTGAGCAGAAATAGAGATTGTTTGGAACGTTTTCTAAT